AGTGAAAGACAGAAAGGGAATGGAGTTTTTTCTTTGATATTTCATTGTTTTTAATAAATTCGTTTTATGAGGTGAACAAACATTTCGTTTTCTAGAATGCCATTGACTGTAATTAATTTAACTGATTTCAGTACAATACTTATCCTGCCACTCCAATTAAAATTCCCATTTAACATTTCTGTCAAGGCCAATTCAGTTTCAATTAATTTGTGAATTAAACAGGAGCCAATTCTTAAAATCTCTCCAATCCAGCAAATTACACAATACTTGGTATACAAACATTTATATATTTTTGTTAGTAGATTTTTTTTCAACTTACCCCCAGGGAGTGTCCCTCCATGGTTTGACATATTCTGTAAAAAGAATATGATATCAATATGCAAAGAGCAATTTAAGAAGTCTGTCAATTTTACCAAATGAGATTAGAGGAGAGATTAGATATTTGTTTTTCTAGTTTTCTTTCTCTCTTATTTATTTATTTGTTTGTTTGTTTGTGTTTGTGTGTGTGTGTGTGTGTGTGTGTGTGTGTGCGTGCGTGCGTGCGTGCGTAGCATGTGAAAGTATAAACAAGACTTTTAGGTTGACTTTGAAATTAAAACTCAATTCAATAAAATATGACAAGATGTTTAACATTCAATCCTTAAAACAACTAGTATCTTATTTTCATATTAAGATTTTTTTTTTAGTAAGACTAGTAAGTAGTAAGACTTTTAATTGAATTCTACCTTGGACATTCTGACTACTTATAACATAAGATGAGTTTAAGAAAATCAGTTGAGACTAGTAAGATAAGAACTGTTAATAGTAATAGTTACAAAAGATAATAGTGTCTAAAATATAAATACTAGTGCATAAGTAATAACTATTAGTATTTATTAAATATATGCTAGTATCAAGTGAAAAGTAAACACACTTAAGAAATAAGTACTAGTATCTAATGAATGCTTACTAGTAATATTTAAAAATATATAGTCACAATTGGAATGCATACTAGTCAACTGAAATAGTTGATATCTGGATGGCAAATCCCCATAGAAGTCAATGGCAAAACTTTGAAATGTGTTACTAACAATAAAATAATTAATAGAATAATCCCTTTTGAAATACGTACTAATACAAAAATATAACTATTATCTAATGAATAAATACTAGTATATTTAAAAAAATAGTAGTACCTAAAGGATAAGCACTAGTATCTGAAGAATAAACACTAGTACCTAAAGAATAAGCACTAGTATCTGAAGAATAATCACTAATTGCCAACGAATAAGTACTACCCAATGGAATAGATACTAGTACCTAAAGAAATGAGTACTAGTAACATGAAAATAGATACTAGTATGTTTTATAGATTAAATCACGTGTCATGTGTCTTGGAGGGCTACTTTTCCTGCAGCGTGTAGCTCCAACCAGCTCCAAAACACCTGCCTGGAAGTTTCTAGTAATCATAAAGATTTTGATTAACTGATTCAGGTATGTTTAATTAGGGTTAGAGCTCAATTTGAATTTGAAACCCTGGATTAAATGTTAAAATGGCTTGCCACACTAAGAAGCAGTCTACATAAAACCGGAATGAAGTGAAAGTCGATCATTTTCGATGAAAATGCTGTCGTTGTGTCCGCTCTAGTAGTTAAATAATAGTGAACACCTTCTACAAACATTTAATGTCACATGTGATTCATACGTAACTATGTCTAAAAGACAATTGGAAAGATTATTTAGGAGCGGAAAAATTATTTGCATTAAATGAGTGTTTGGAATAATTTCGATGCTTGAATATTATCACAAGTCTATAGGTCTTGTAACACAACAGGCCTGTGGGTGTGCGTGCATGCAGAACCTGATTTTACCAAGTACGACATATTCCTGGATCAACATCTTTGTTGACCCTGGAACAACATTGTGATTAACCAGTCAGACTTTAAGAACCAGTTTATAGTTTTTGTGAAGTTTAGGCTTACAATCCGTGTTTGGTGCTTGTACATCAGTGTCATTCATCTATCATTTCCTCTGATTTTAGGGAATACTAATGGTTAAGGTTATGTTTAGGTGTAGGGACATGGTCAAGACTAAATGTTTGTAATAAAATGTTGTTCCAGTGTCAACAAAATATGTTGACCTAGGAACACATCTAACTCAGCAAAATCAGGAAGTGCGGGTGTGCATACGCCCTAATAACGTTAGAAAACAAAAAAAGTGTCTAATTGGAAGTAAATGTACATGGTCCTGCTGCTCGACCTTGATAAAAACAAAAATAAGATAAGCAATAAGTGGAGAGATCACAGATTATAGAATACGGTGCAAACAATCATTTGTTAAGAATTCAGCAGATCTGTAGTCAACAAGGCAGGAAATAAAATTTGTGGAACTTTACATAACTGAAAATCTAAGAATAGAGATAAAAAAATGAGAAGTGATAATATTTATAAACAAGAAAATCTTGTAACACCAAAATGCCTTTTAGCTTTGTTTGTTATTTTATATAGTTTGTATGTTATTTTAATATTTATCGGCTCACCGGATTCTGTTTCTTCTGTTGATTGTGATCCTCCCATCTTCCTGTTTTTCCTTTGTATTCTCTGCAAATACTAAGTCTGTATGATAACGCAAGTTATGGAAATTCAATAGAGAGGCAAGAACTATTTCTCGTTCCGGCCTGTAAACTTTCACTTTCACTTTTAAACCAACCAATGTGTTAGCGCATAATGTGTTAATCCAACTGTGTATGATTTTTTTGTTTTGTTTGTAAAATTAGAAAATAACCTGGAACAAATACACATAAACATTAAAAAATATTAGTAACTTGTCTTAATAATTGATAACTTGTGAAATGGCTAGAGAAACAAATGCTTCTTTAAGACACCCTTAAGACTCCAAATCTGTATTAAAATATTGTACAAGCAACCTGTATAGTATCAATAAATGTGACGTGACTGGAGTGCTGAATTGCAGATACGTGCAAACCATGGAGTCCATCGGAGCAGATTCACAAGTCATGTTCATTGGTGTCAAAAGCACTACAGCCAGGAAAGTGCTATCAAGTACAGGCAGCCCAGAGCTATTGGGGGGGGGGCTACAACATTCCTCCCTGAGGGTCCCTGCCATTTTAACCAAATATATGCTAAAATATCTAGGTTATTATACTGTAAGGAAATGTTAGCATTATTTTGTGCAAAAAAACAAACAAACAAACCTGACGAGCAAATGAGTTTGGGGTAGGGCTATCTTTTTGTCCAACCAATGGAAGATGGGGGATTGTCTGTCAGGAAAACAGGAAACAGTATTTATTTTATCAATTCCATTTAGCAGTGGTGCAAAAATTGCACACTGCAGCCACTTTTTCTGGTATATGGATCTGCAAAGTCTAAGGAGAGGACAACATCTAAAGGTGAACTTTTTTTAGTTGTATTTTTGTTAGATAAATTTGATTTTAGGGAATACTAATGGTTAAGGTTATGTTTAGGTGTAGGGACATGGTCAAGACTAAATGTTTGTAATAAAATGTTGTTCCAGTGTCAACAAAATATGTTGACCTAGGAACACATCTAACTCAGCAAAATCAGGAAGTGCGGGTGTGCATACGCCCTAATAACGTTAGAAAACAAAAAAAGTGTCTAATTGGAAGTAAATGTACATGGTCCTGCTGCTCGACCTTGATAAAAACAAAAATAAGATAAGCAATAAGTGGAGAGATCACAGATTATAGAATACGGTGCAAACAATCATTTGTTAAGAATTCAGCAGATCTGTAGTCAACAAGGCAGGAAATAAAATTTGTGGAACTTTACATAACTGAAAATCTAAGAATAGAGATAAAAAAATGAGAAGTGATAATATTTATAAACAAGAAAATCTTGTAACACCAAAATGCCTTTTAGCTTTGTTTGTTATTTTATATAGTTTGTATGTTATTTTAATATTTATCGGCTCACCGGATTCTGTTTCTTCTGTTGATTGTGATCCTCCCATCTTCCTGTTTTTCCTTTGTATTCTCTGCAAATACTAAGTCTGTATGATAACGCAAGTTATGGAAATTCAATAGAGAGGCAAGAACTATTTCTCGTTCCGGCCTGTAAACTTTCACTTTCACTTTTAAACCAACCAATGTGTTAGCGCATAATGTGTTAATCCAACTGTGTATGATTTTTTTGTTTTGTTTGTAAAATTAGAAAATAACCTGGAACAAATACACATAAACATTAAAAAATATTAGTAACTTGTCTTAATAATTGATAACTTGTGAAATGGCTAGAGAAACAAATGCTTCTTTAAGACACCCTTAAGACTCCAAATCTGTATTAAAATATTGTACAAGCAACCTGTATAGTATCAATAAATGTGACGTGACTGGAGTGCTGAATTGCAGATACGTGCAAACCATGGAGTCCATCGGAGCAGATTCACAAGTCATGTTCATTGGTGTCAAAAGCACTACAGCCAGGAAAGTGCTATCAAGTACAGGCAGCCCAGAGCTATTGGGGGGGGGGCTACAACATTCCTCCCTGAGGGTCCCTGCCATTTTAACCAAATATATGCTAAAATATCTAGGTTATTATACTGTAAGGAAATGTTAGCATTATTTTGTGCAAAAAAACAAACAAACAAACCTGACGAGCAAATGAGTTTGGGGTAGGGCTATCTTTTTGTCCAACCAATGGAAGATGGGGGATTGTCTGTCAGGAAAACAGGAAACAGTATTTATTTTATCAATTCCATTTAGCAGTGGTGCAAAAATTGCACACTGCAGCCACTTTTTCTGGTATATGGATCTGCAAAGTCTAAGGAGAGGACAACATCTAAAGGTGAACTTTTTTTAGTTGTATTTTTGTTAGATAAATTTGTATGTTATTTGTGTAAGACAATTGTAAATTATATTTACCACATTAATTATGCATTGCTTATGCATATTATGAACTACTGCAAATAGAAGCATAAAAGGTTTAATAACATTCCTTAATACGAAATAAAAAATGCTTGACCAAACTCTCAGATGCCACTGTGCTTATAATCATAACAATTTATTTATATTAATTCCACATATTCTCAATGCTTTTTACATGGAAGAGGTCTTTGATGATTTTTTCACCAGGGTCAGACAAACACATTAGCCATCTGAAGGTTTACACAAAATAACAACTGATTATTACACAGCTTTACATTGTAAAATATTTTATACTCCAACATCTATTCCATTGACTTTGCAGGGTCATAATCATGGACAACATTGTCATGATTGTCGGATGTTGTATCCCAGATGGCTGGTTTTTAAGTATCACTTATAAAGCTAAATTAATAACATGGTGCATGGATAAAAAATATTGCTCTGTATTCTTATACATCTTGTGATGACATAGTTGTATATTATCTAATTTTAGCCACTTGTATAGAATATGCATCTTCTCCTGTTAGCAAGTCTTTTTTAGTTTGCATGACAAAACAGGAATAATTGCACTGTTCAAGAGATCAACACACACTCAGCCCTTACAAAAAAGTACTGTGGTGGTACTATGGTATCAAATGGTAATGAAACAGTACTTGGTACTGTACCATGCGACTTTATGATCTCCATAATCCTGTACTATAGAATTTACATGGTCATCCAACATACTTCAAAAATACAATGGCACCATGTCCAAAATCATGGTACACTTTTTGTAAGAGAAGAAAAACATACTGTCTCTTTCCCAAAACTATAAACACACACTTCACGTCTCACTCTCAAACAGACCTTCCATCCTAACACACAAACAAACACAAACAAACACACACATAAACACTTATTAGAGCACATTAGGAATGAGCAGGTGTCTGTAGCATTCCATATTGATGCATTCCATACTCTAGACTATCAATGATAACTATAACCTGTATGTCATATATACACTATTCTTTCCAGCATCGTATTCTGTATTCTGTCTATAACTATGTATTACACTTTGGGCAGGGTGGGATTTGTCAATGCAAGAACTACACTACACAATCAAACATTCACACACACTGACAACAACAGCAGCAACAACAATAATAACATACATAAAGATTACAATATACCTCTTTAAGTCCAAAGCATTTCTTCATTATACTTCAAGGGCACAAAGACAAATTAGTCCAAAAAAAAGTCTGAATATTTTCAGGGTCATAAATGGGGCTGTGCTCTTCATATTTATTTAGTCCAAACCAAGTGTTTTTCAGTAACTTGTCCAGCTGAAGACCACAAGGTGAAATTTAAAGTTCCCCTTTACATGTGGACAAGCTCATAGCAGAGATGTGGAAAAGAACAATATAGCTTCCTAACATCATAAAAGAGAATATGATGTACCTTCACTGTTAGCACTGTCATCAAAAGAAATATTAATCGATATTCAACTCTCAACCCACATGTAGTACACACATACATATTAGCATTTCTCTGCTTAAATATATTTAGAAAGCCTGTCACATAATCTCTCTTAAAATTGTGCTTATCTCTGGAAGCAGCATGACAGCAAGTCACATTTGCAGGCCAGAATATGTACTTGCAGTACCTACTCTGGCCACTAAAGGCTGGTGGAGAATGAAAGGGGCTTGATGTTAGTCGAAATTTAGATCTTAGGCTTTTTCTCAGAGATGCTCAATTGTAGTTTGACTTTTAAACATGTTGGAATGGAAGAGCTTAATTTGCCCTACTGAGTTTCCAATCCTGCTGAGTTGGCATCCCGGTGGTCTTCACTGAGAAACTTCAGCAAGCTCATATTTTAATCTAGCATGGCCTCCAACTGGTCCGCAAGATCATCAAACATGCTGCCAATATCATCAAGAATGTTGACTGTACTCTTGTTGTCCACAATGGAGCTGAGGAGGAAAAGAAAGATAAATTAGAATAGACAGAATGGAAGAGGTTTCAACAAATAACATCATTTGCAGAAGAAAGATGATTTACAGAAAATACTTTGTTTTAGTGTCAGAAACATCTACTCATATACCTGTCATCCTTCTTAATCTTCTCCTCCACTACTTCCAGAGCAGCAGCCAGGGATGCACTGGTCTCCTCCAGTCTGAGTTGTACCATGTCCCCTGAAGCAGAGCCCTCAGTTTCAGCAACCTTCAATAACCCTTGGCTTTCCACCTCTGTCTGTCGTCTATATCCATCTTGTGGTTCACCCTCTACTTGTGTCTGTCTGGCTACACCTACCTTCCTCCTTCTCATTACCACTGGTCCTGCTCCCTCCCCTGTCTCTGAAATCAGGCCTTGTTCACCTAGAAATGTTGGATCCACCTGGATCAGACCTGTCCTTTCCATTCTAGCAATTCCAACTTCCTCTACTCTTTCTTGCTTTAAACTAACTTCATCTTCCTCTCTCTGTTTCTCTACTTCTCTCAGCTTCTTTTGTACATCCACTCCAGGCAGTTCCACTTCCAGAGGGCTTGGGATGTCGACTGAGAGACCAGCCATGGAAGACCTCGGGGGCTTCACTGGAGCCGAGCCTGAACCTGGTGTAGAAGGTGTTTGTGGAGTTTGGGGAGTCTGAGGCGTCTGTGGGCTCTGAGCTGGAGACGTTGCTGCACGTGGGGAAAGCATGCTCCCATCCATTGGTTTTGGGGTGGCTGGACTCAGAATCTGTGGTGGATGCTCCAGTCGCTCAGTTGGAACGGGGCTAAAGGAGGCACTGGATGGGCTGAGAACAAATGTCTGAGGAGAGCCAGGAGTTTCGATGGTATGGATTGGCTTGATTTTCACTGGTTTTGGCAGTGTAGGAGGCGGACTTGGCTTGGGAGATACTGGAGGAGGGACTTTCTTAACCTCCACTATAAAGAAACAAAGAAACCATAATATACAACTTGTCCAAATCATTTCAGAAAAGTTATTTTACCACATTCAGAATCAGAATCAGAATGAGCTTTATTGCCAGGTATGTTTACACATACGAGGAATTTGTTTTTCGTGACAGAAGCTTCCACAGTGTAACAGAATGACAGTGACAGAACAAAAAAACACAGATAATAAAAAATAGAACAAGTAAATAAGGAATAAAAATATATAAATTGACAGTTGTATGTGCAGGTATATTACAATAGACAGTTTTTGTATGTACAGGTACTGAATATTATGTGCAAATTTGAGGTGTAGACTGAGTATTTGTGTTAGATAAATAAGTGTATGAGTGAATAAATAGTGTGTTCCACAGTTATTGTTAAGTGTTCATGAGATGGATGGCCTGAGGGAAGAAACTGTTCCTGTGTCTGGCTGTTCTGGTGCTCAGTGCTCTGTAGCGTCGACCAGATGGCAACAGTTCAAAGAGGGAATGTGCTGGATGTGAGGGGTGCATGAATGTCTATGTTGGCTTGCTAGGCTGGTTTATGCTTGCTTGCTAGTTTGCTACAGATAGATCAGTTTGCAGGACAGAGTGAGATAATACAAGAAAATTAATGTATTGTAAATGTAAATGTAAATAATTAATTACATTGTTACCTGGGCTATGTTGACCTTCTGGTCCAGGTAAGGGAACCCTCCTTGTAGGAGTTGGGGGATCAGTTTTTCGAAGGACCATTGCTGGTTTAGGTGAAACCGGGGGTTTCATTTGCCTGGGAAGAGACCCAAAGACATCATGTTGCAGTTCTTCCTCCCTACCACCATCTCCAACACAAGCTTCTGATACAGGCCTTCTCCGAAAGTTCTCTGGCACATCTCCATCAGTGCCATTAATCTGTGGTGGAGCCAATGCTTTGGGCCTTCGCTTTATAGTACTTGTTTCGGTCAGATGAAAATGTTCACCATCTGAGTGATGTGGTGGTCGCGGTCTTCTCAAAGTTGCTGTGGCATCCATCCGTGACCACTCCTCTTGTGGCAGAGAGGAAACTCCCCCTTCCAGATGAGTGATCACGGAACGTGGACGTGGTTCAGGGGCCTGTTTAACTGGTTGGGTTTCACAAGGTGCTGGTCTAAAATGTGTGGGGTCCTGCATGGCTTGGCTCATCTCTGCCTCTTGTACATCTTCATCAGGCTGCTTATGAGAGTAAAAAAATTCACTGATTGTGCGGCGGCGACTATCTGCGTCGGAATTCAGAACTTCACGGTTCTGCCGCAGGAGGTTATGGCTTGCCTGGGAACAAGTAAAACATCAAAACACAGCTGGGCATCAGTACTCACTCTTCAAAAATGTAAATGCATTGCATAGTTCACAGTTACTTTGTCTAACCAGTTACATGGTGTATGCATCAGAAAAAATACAGAAGCGTATGTATTTCTAAACAGAACATTTTAATTTGTAAATTGCTTTTAAGTGCATTGTAAGATCAATTTGATGTGCCTAAACAAGCATTGGACCATTGGGCATTAGTCATGGTAGCTTAAAACAATGCCTAAAACTGTTTAATTACCTGCAGATAACCACTTCCTTTACCACTGCTTCTGAGATTGGACATTTCAAGCATGGCTGCAATGTCTCTAACACTGCCCCCAGATGAAGTTTTTTCTGAGGCAATGCCACAGTCGCTACGTCTGCGCTCCCTATATGTCACATTGAGTAACAAATTGTTAGCCCTATTTTCGCTAAACTTTGCATCATCAGCCACAGTTTCATCAGCCAGGTTACCAGTGGAAATGGAAGAGCATGAACGTTTTGGAGGAGTTGGAGGACGAGTCCGTCTGCGCGGCCGAGCTGTAGCAAATGACTGACTGCGATTGACGCTGTTGATGTCAAGGGTTTCAGCTCTTGAAGAGCTGCTGGGAGTAACGCTATGTCCACCTAGTGTGGCGTATTTCACAGAGAAGTCTGGCATGGGTAAGTCACGCCCAGCATCAGTAGCAATAGACTGTCCATGTCTTGGCTGGGGCTGAGTTAGACCATTGCCCTCTTTGGTTTCTCCTTCAGATGGTAAGCAAAGTAACGGGACAGTACGAGCATGAGCATGTGAACGGGGAGAGTCGCAAGGCCCTCTGGCCCTGCTCTGTGATTTTAGTGGGGAGGAAGGAATGTGTGAAGAAGAATTTGAAGCAGAAGATGAAATTCTGCCTTTGGTAGGGGTTTGTGGAGGTGTTGGGGTGGGACTCTCAATTGAACTGGGTTTCTTCAGAGGAGGGGGGGCATTAGCTCTTTGTATGCCCCGCCCTTGTGTGCTGTGCCGGGGAGAGCTACGCCCCTCCGCTCTTTTACGTATACGAACAGAGGGGACAGAGTTCTCATCTGGTTCTGTGCTGGTTTCTAATGATTGTTTTGAATCTGTGCTTTCTTCTAAATGGCTCTCCTTGGTGGGAATGTATGCTTCTGGAGATTCACTCAGTTGTTTGACGGCTAACATCAACTTCTTTTGGTGTCCTTGGTGGAAAAGAAAAGGCAGAGTTGGACAGTTATTATTTTTGTTTGTTAGGTTTAACCTGTAAGCATTTCCCTGCTGAAAGGACCAGCATTAATTATTGGAACAGCATCAATGGCACTTGGTACCCTGACACTGACAAGTTTCAGGCCAGATTGTGGTTTAAAGGGGTCATATGATCCGATTAAATTTTTTCCTTTGTCTTTGGAGTGTTAAAAGCTGTTTGTGCATACAGAAGATCCGTAAAGTCGCAAAGATTAAAGTCTCAAACCCAAAGAGATATTCTTTATAAAAGTGAACGCTTTCCTAAAATGCCTCGTTCAAACACGCCCCCACGTATCTACGTCACTGTGTGGAAAGATTTGCATAACACCGCCCAAATGTATACGCAAAGAAAGAAGGCATAATTTTTATTCTTGCTGTAATATTGAGACGCTGTGTGTTTTGTTACGAAAGCCAACCTACTTTGGTTGGCCTTTCAAAAGAGTTCACAACTAGAAATCAGTGGTTACATTTTATTTACAACACTGTTCCAGAACAGAACAACCCAAATATTCGAGTGTGTGCAGCGCATTTTACGGAGGAAAGTTTCCAGAACCCGGTAAGGGGCGTAACATTTCAGTCACACGCTTGAGGTATTCAGCCAATCACAAAGCACTAGATAGCTGGCCAATCAGCTGGCCAAAACCACGCTTTTCAGAACGATGAGCTTTGTAAAAAAATCTACGTGTTTCAGAAAGGCGGGGCATAGAGGAGCAACAATAATGTACAGTATGTGGAAAATAATGTGTTTTTTATCCTTAAACCGCGTAAACACATTGCATTACACCAAATAAACAAAATAATGTTCTTTTTAGCAACGTCATATGACCCCTTTAAGTCAAGTGCTGACAGAAGAGGTATCCACCATCTTCAGAAAGTTATCGTACCACCACAGAGAAACAGAGAACAAAAGAAGAAACTTAAAATAGTTTTTTTTTTACATTATGGCTAAAACTTGCATATGGTATATATACAGTGGTGTGAAAAAGTCTTGGCCCCCTTCCTGATTTCTTGTTTTTTGTATGTTTGTCACACTTTAATGTTTCAGATCATCAAACAAATTTAAATATTAGTAAAAGATAACAAGTGAACACAACATGCAGTTTTTAAATGAAGGGTTTTATTATTAAGGGAAAACAAAATTCAAAACTACATGGCCCTGTGTGAAAAAGTGCCCCCTAAACCTAATAACTGGTTGGGCCACCCTTAGCAGCAACAACTGCAATCAAGCGTTTGCGATAACTTGCAATGAGTCTGTTACAGCGTTGTGGAGGAATTTTGGTCTACTCATCCATGCAGAATTGTTGTAATTCAGCCACATTGGAGGGTTTTCGAGCATGAACCGCCATTTTAAGGTCATGCCACAGCATCTCAATAGGATTCAGGTCAGGACTTTGACTAGGCCACTCGAAAGTCTTCATTTAGTTTTTCTTCAGCCATTCAGAGGTGGACTTGCTGGTGTGTTTTGGATCAGTAGGCGCGTTTCCATTACCCTTCAAATTGCGCAAATTGAAACTGCGAATTGAAAATACGCCTAATGGAAACGCGTCAGTTTCGCAAAAACTCCCATATATCGCAAAAAAGCTTTTACGCTCGCATGAGGTGCTTTTTCAGGCAATGCGAAAAAGGAATAATTCGCAAAACTGCAATGGAAACGGCTTTTTCGCATTTACAGGTCACATGGCGTATGTAAAAAGTCATATGATCATTCTTCAATGTACTATAACCGCCAAGAAACACTTCATAAGTGGCCGCGCTCCAGTATAAGGGGCTTTCCCTACCATTAATGCTTAGACAATTTACACTGCACACGTCTGCGGTGCAGTGTGGCTCTGATACGGTCACTGAATCTGACTGCTGCCACTCAGTGCTTGTGTTTATATTTTTTATACAGGCTATGGTTTATTCCAGCTGCGCCACACATGTTTCTGAAGCGGCTCTCTTTGCTGCTTCTGTAAAGATACACACAAAAGCCTCCTTTATTCAATTTCTATGCTTCAGAGTATTCAAATGTCCTCCTTTTCTTCATGACATTTAGTAGCAAAAGCAAAAAGCAGTGGTGAGGCTGCTTGATCAAGGAAGTCTTGCTGGTTAAGTTAGATAAGAAAACTGTTTGGACACACAAGCACCAACATCGCTCACTAGGGACCACCATCCAAAACACAATATACTAATGAACAACTATGCCTGTCTTTTCAGCAGGAGTATTATGAAAAATATGTTTATTATAAATATAAACATAAGTATGTGTAGTATACATGCCTAGTTTAGTGATGCCGATCTCCTTTAGGTCCTCCAGGGTAATATCACTAATGAAGTCCATATTGTCGTAGCCGTTCTGAACCAGAGTCTGGTAGTATTGACTGAGACCAATTGCAGACAGCCATTCAGCCAGATTTGACTACAAGTTTACACAAAAACTTAGTAACTGATATGAACAGCAAGTTCAGTTGTATCTGTACAGAACATGTGTGTATATACATACAGTGGGATCCAAAATCTAAAACGTAGCGAAAACAGGCTAACAGAACTTCTCTAATTATATAGAAATTCAGCAAACCACTTTATATATATATATTAAAAAAAATTAACACGAATTTCTGAATTTCTTAATGTTTGTTTTGGCTTTCTTTTGGTTCAATAACTCCACGAGTTTGTTTAAGACCTGATAATCTTGTTCTACAATATCAAGTCATACATCTACTTATTTGAATAGAGACCTAAGAATAGTACAGGATCTTAAATATTTCTTATTCATTTTACTTTATTATTATTATTATAAAAACTATAAAGCTTTCTGCATATTTTTTTTAATGTCCTTTATATTAATGTCCTTTATATTTTGAATTCCAGACTTCTGGGACACCACTTTAATTATCTTACAGATTTCTCTTGAGGTATCCAATCTGGGATGTTTATTTTGCTGATCTCTGAAAGCATTTTCTTCCTGTGCCCTGGCTTTGTCACCCCAATAGCAGTGAGGTCCTGTGGGGCATACACACATACACACACACACAGACAGCTTAAGAAATCTCAAAACGGATATACAAATAACTGTTAGAACTAATGTAAATATACATAATACTTGAATAATTATATATATATATATATATATATATATATATATATATCAACTGAAGAAATATATACAAAAATTTATTATGTATTTGACTATTCTGACTGTCACTATAATGTACAGTGGACCCAAAATAATTTGGACACTAAAGTCCTTCTACAAAACATTTGATTGTTCTAATCATATTTTGTGTCGAAGGTGTCGAAATACTTTTTGGGGCCACTATGCATAAATATATACAGTATGAAACATTTATTCTATCTTTTAACAGAAAAAATTATTAATCACTTTCAATTAAATTTCATCGATTCATTCATTCATAAAGCTTTGTGTGTTTGCATTACCTCTGGTGTCATTCTACTTATGGTCTGCAGGTCATAACCAGCAGTGAGAAAGTTTGTTGTGTAGAACTGCAGCTGTGCACTAGTGAGCCATTCAACAACAGCCTCCGAGTTCTACAACACACACACACACACACACACACACACACACATGGCAGTGAAAGACAAAAACACATCAATAATTCAGACATTCCTTTGACAGATTCATGATTCCAAGTCCTGATATGTGAAATCAAAATGTGTCAGGCAGTACACACTATAACCACTGTGTGGCAGCAAATAACATACTTGATTCAGAATCATACTTCACTAACCAAAATTTATCAAGGTAATAATGTGGTTTTTGGATACATTCTTTAAAATACCTTGAAATAAACCCTAACACTAAACCATAACATTCAGTGCTATGATATATCAAAGTACCATGGTATTATAATCTGATACCATGATGGCTTCACAGTACTTACTAACAAAGCAACAACTTTGACTTACAAATTAACATATGTCTGATAAATGTTTTTGAACTGTGATATGTTTAGAAGTGTATGATCAACCTTCATTTTAATTTAATTTTAATCTCATTAAAACATGCACCAAGTATCTGACCATCCAAGAGACAAATACAGGTGCATCTCAATAAATTAGAATGTCGTGGAAAAGTTAATTTATTTCAGTAACTCAACTCAAATTGTGAAACTTGTGTATTAAATAAATTCAATGCACACAGACTGAAATAGTTTAAGTCTTTGGTACTTTTATTGTGATGATTTTGGCTCACATGTAACAAAAACCCACCAATTCACTATCTCAACAAATTAGAATACTTCATAAGACCAATAAAAAAAAAATTTTTTAATGAGAGACACCAGACCCAACAATGCAGATGACCTGAAGGCCGCTATCAAAGCAACCTGGGCTTCCATTACACCTGAGCAGTGCCACAGGCTGATTACCTCCATGCCACGCCACATTGATGCAGTAATTCAAGCAAAAGGAGGCCCAACCAAGTATTGAGTACATGTACAGTAAATGAACATACTTTCCAGAAGGCCAACAATTCAATAAAAAAATTTTTTTATTGGTCTTATTAAGTATTCTAATTTGTTGAGATAGTGAATTGGTGGGTTTTTGTTAAATGTGAGCCAAAATCATCACAATTAAAAGAACCAAAGACTTAAACTACTTCAGTCTGTGTGCATTAAATTTATTTAATACACGAGTTTCACAATTTGAGTTGAATTACTGAAATATATATCCAGTGATTACTGAAACTTTTCCACGACATTCTAATTTATTGAGATGCACCTGTATAGACACATTGGGCCTCATTTATCAATCTAACGTAGAAACGAGCGCAGATCTGTGCGCACAAATCAACTTACGACAGAGTTCACGTGTGATTTATGAAACATTCGTATGCCGCCGATCTCATCGTACGAATGATCGCATGTTGATAAATGTGGCGCCAGAAAACAATCGTCATTTGAATATCACGCCCCTAAAACACCCAGGTTTTGAAGCCTCGCCCCAAGAGTTTACGACACGCAGAAACAAAACCCGGCCAAAAAGAGGAAGTAATCTCTCTAAAGAGAAATTGATCTTACTCCAAAAACACCCGTTAACCTTGTAATTGCAAACAATTAGGCTACATTAATATATGTAATTTGTATGTATATTAAAATACTGGTAAATATAAAAAGCCTATTTAGTTGCCCTCACTCGACAACAAATATTTTAAAATTAACGGTATTCAGAACATCAAAAACTTGCGTACACGAGCTGAGACCAGACGTGAGATTTGATCGTAGCCACCGCTCACGTCCATATTGATAAATTCCAAATTTTGCGTTGAAACGACCATACGCCCAATTTTCTGTCGTACGTTCGTTTCGTAAATGAGGCCCATTATGATTCACATAAACAAATCAGATCCACCACACACACACACACTTGCCTTGTTCTCAGTTGAAGCTTCATCTTTCCTCTGGAGCAATGGATCCACAAAGGGTTTCTTCTTTTGATGTCGTGGGACAGCAGATGCGCTCTGTCTGCGCTGAGAAGGTGCTATGGGAAAAAATGAAATAAGATGTAAAACAAATAAAAAAGCATTTTTTTTACCATGACTCTGAATAGAAGTATGGGCTTATTAAAACATCTGGAGGCAAAGCACAATGGACATATGAGATGTGTACAAATCAGATATATGAGACAAACCTTTATTCAATCATCAGTCTATTATTTCAGCATTATTAGGGCTTTAACTGTACAAAATGACAGAAATAGATAGATAGATAGATAGATAGATAGATAGATAGATCCTGAGAAATCGGTATATTTATATATATATATTTATACATCGCAGTACCTGAATTAGGATCTAAAGACTGAGATTGGTCCATAAGATGTTCTTTTGCTTTGGCTGACTGGGACAGCACCGTGGCCAACAGCTAAAACACACACACATTGCACACATATATGATCAATAATTTGAGAAAGAACTAGAGAGAAAGACAGACAAAGAGAGACTTTACACATCTGTCCTTTGTGCATTTATAGGCTTTGTGTGTGTCACACCTTCACACCCTCGGCCTGAGCATGCAGTCCTGGGACATTGAGGCCATGCGTGTTCACTCCGGGTGAGAGTGTGGGGGTGGTTGGCACTGGCACAGGTGAGTTGGTGAGGTGAGCATTGGCATTACTGCTTTGTCCGCTAGTAGATGAACGTCCACTGGTGAGACTGCCTGTGCTGCCCATACTGCCCATACTGCCTACACTGCCCACTGCTGGCAGACACAAGGGTATCATGTAAGAAAGCAGAAATAAAAAACTGTTGAGTATGTAATTTTTGTGTATGTTTGCTTTATTTGCCTTAAATAGAAACATGAGAGATTCAGAATGCATATTCAGTAGTTTAGTGTGTATTTAGGTTGCTGACAAATAACATTAACTTCTTATAAGGTAAAGTATTTGGATCATCCTCTGTTGTAACAATCAAATCTCTTTTGAGGTTGCATTAATTTCAAAACATTTAACCATATTGCTGTCACATTGGGTCACGAGATGCATGAGAACCATAATTGCGCAAAATGAGATTTGATTATATTTTCAGTGAATAACAACTTAAATGTTTCATATGGTTTTCATATGGTATGGTATCAGACTTGTAATATTGTGCTGTATGAAATACTTTTATCTGCTATTTTACCTTAATATTATGAAGAAGGTCAGAAATTCTGCAAAACTTCTCCATGGAAAACAATATTACAGGCACTAAATAGTCCTGTTTGTTTATACACTAACATTCTTTTTTATTATTATTTATTTATTTATTTTGTATATTTGGTATTTAGTAAGACTTTTATAAGAAATTATACTTTTATTCAACATAAACACATTCAATTGATCAAAAGTGACAATAAAGACTTGCATTGCTACAAAAATAAAATTATATATATAATTTGATCTTTTTTGATCTTATGATCTTTGGATCTTTCTACTGATAAAAGAATCCTGAAAAAAATGTATCACTGTTTCCACACAATATTAAGAAGCACCACTGATTTCAACATTGATAATCTTACGAAATGTTTCTTGAGCAGCAAATCAGCATATTAGAATGATATCCGAAGAATCATGTGACACTGAAGACTTGAGTAATGATGCTGAAAATTCAACTTTGCATCACAGGAAAAAAAAAAGTATTTTAAAATATTATAATCTAAGTTATTTAAAATTATAAGAATATTTCACAGTATTACTGTTTTACTTGATCAAATAAATGCAGCCTTGTGGTGCGCATACTGTCAAAAACACTAAAAACCTTACTGATCTCAAAACTTTTGAAAGGTAGTGTATATTTTTAAAACTTTTTAAAAAATCCACGTGGTCTCTCAGTTAATATGAGACCATAATAAAAGCTGCAAAAATAATAAATATAAATAATAAAAGTAGTTTTAGATAAAGTATAGCATGTCACCTCAACTGTCCATTGAAAAACTATTTACCAGCTAAAGGTTTTCTCAGTACCCAAATCTCCTCATTAGTGCCACTCTGTTGGCCACTGAGGGTTGGAGAACCATGAGGGCTGGAAACAGATCCCCTTGAGCCTGCAAGATATCACATACACACAAACACAGTGATGTAAGAATGAAAAACATTGCATTGCTTTGCAAACTCCTAATTGGCAACCACAGATACACACAGAGGGAGCAGAAAGCAAAGGGATCATTTGGGGCAGTTCAAATGGACTGTAGCATATCCGTCAGTAATCGGAGAGCCTTGCTGATGAAAATATGCTATGTTTGCAAATACAGTTTCATGCAAAAAATATTCAGACCCCTTTCTGAATGACAAAAATTCAGTTAGCTGTGAAATGTTATGTCTAGCACAAAAAAAAAAGATTATCATTAATGTAATGCAGTAATTAAAAAGGGATGCAATACAATGTTTTATTTATATATACATAAAAATGCACTACTGTTAAAAAAAAATGGAGATGATAATATTTTAATCTATTTGAAAGAAATATTTTATGATTACCTTGACTGCATTAATTTAATTCAATAATATTAATATTATGAACTATTATTACATTTTCAAATATTTATATTTTAATATCTTATAAAAATAATTCCTGTGATGGCAAAGTTGAATTTTCAGAATTACTTCAGTGTCACATGATCCTTAAGAAATCATTCTAATATGCTGATTTGCTGCTCAAGAAACATTTCTTATTATTATCAATGATGAAAACAGTTGTGCTGCTTAATATTTTTTTGAGGAAACCATGATACATTGTTTTAGGTTTCTTTGGTGAATAGAAAGTTCAAATGAACAGCATTTTTGCTGTATAATATTTGAAGTATAATTTTTCTAACATTATACATGCTTTTTACTGTCATCCATTTTTCCTCTTTGAATAGTATTAATTAAAGGGGTCATATGACGTTGCTAAAAAGAACATTATGTTGTGTATTTGGTGTAATGCAATGTTTATGCATACAATGTGTAATGTTTATGCACATTATTAAAAACACATTATTTTCCACATAATGTACATTATTGTTGCTCCTCTATGCCCCGCCTTTCTGAAACGCGTAGATTTTTACAAAGCTCATCATTCTGAAAAGCAAGGTGTGCTGTGATTGGCCAGCTATCCAGTGCGTTGTGATTGGCTGTATACCTCAAGCGTGTGACAGAAATGTTACGCCCCTTAACACACCATCTGTGATGCCGTATCCCGGCACGGCGAGACAAATCCAATAAAACCCATTACAAACGAGGCATTTGTTGCATCCAGTGGGGACATAATCACTGATTATAATGACTTATATTGTGTTTTTATGTGTTGCGTATCGCGCCCCATAAACATAAAACCATGTCTGCATTTGTGATCGGAGAAATGACAAACAACAAGCGCTACTCGCGTTTGAATCATCAGTGGCAAATTCTTTAAATATAAAACATTTACTTACAGGCTGTGAGTCAGAAGCACCAGACTGTCCTTGCAAAGTTGGAACTACCCCACTTTATAGAACAGCATTTGAGCACAGACCCATTGTATGCTTCAGGTTCAGGAAACAGTCCTCCATAAAATGCGTCACACAGCATCACACACGGCAGGCTTGAGTGAGGAATGGCAGGCGGACTTGAGAACGGTGCGGCCGGTAGATTTGACGAAGGAGCGTCTAGCGGGCTTGCGGCAACCACATGTGACGACCCTGGGCTGGACTCCGCTTCGTCCACGGTGAAAGCCGATCCGGCGATCCACAGCGTGAAGTTGATGTATTTCCTCAGCAACCAGCACGGATCAGCTCTAGGCATGACGAAGCGGATATCGTCCTCTTTTGGAAGGCCAAACAAAGTAGTTTCGCTTTCACAACTAAACACACAGCATCTCCACAACATGGCGCCGGCGGCAACAATACTACAGCGAGCATAAAAGTTACGCCTCTTTCTTCTTTCTCTTTCCTCTTTCAAAGTTCTTTCTTTGCATGAACATTTGGGCGGTGTTATGCAAATCTTCCCACACAGTGACGTAGACATGTGGGGGTGTGTTAGAACGAGCCATTTTAGGAGGGCGTGGACAAGTCTTAACTTTTATAAAGAATATTTCTTTGGATTTGAGACTTTAGTCTTTGCAACTTTACAGATCTTCTTTATGCACCAAGAGCTTGTAACACTCCAAAGAGAAAGGAACAATTTAAATCGCATCATATGACCCCTTTAACTAAAAAAAAAAATCGTATTGACCCTTTTGAGCAGTAGTGTATTTGATATATAACCATGAAATGCTAAATAGTATGTATTTTTCATATTATGATAATTTTTGCACTATATGGTAAGGATAATAGGGGAGACATGTGCTTAATTTACAAAAAATAATGTCATAATGGTTAAAAAAATATATACATATATTTTCTTCATGCAAAATATGATTTTTAACCTTGGGGTGAAATATGACCTAAACATTTTCTTGATTTGATTATTCAGATTGACCCAAATATAACTGACTGCTTTTTTTTCACATCCGACTTTTACAATGTCATTCAGATTCACATCTGTTTACTGCATTTTACGATGGAGTTAAAAAAACAAACAAACAGGTTTATGATATGATATGCTCATGATGGGTAAATGTGTGTATTTTTCTGGCTGTGTATGTGTGTGTTTATACCTGTCTCTTTTTGTGGCTCCTCTGAGCAGGAGGAAGCTGGTTCATACCCAAATGTGCTGCAGGTAGGCATATTATAGCCAAATGAGGTGAAGAGGGGCTGATGGGTAAGGGGCTGGGTAGGAGGGGGTGGGGGAGTGAGGGGCAGAGAAAAAATGTGGAAGGAGTCACCGTTCACCATGACAACTGAACCAATTGCTGGCGGACAGATCTGTATCTTAAGATACTGTTGGGTGACATTTTCTTGATTTGATTATTCAGATTGACCCAAATATAACTGACTGCTTTTTTTTTCACATCCGACTTTTACAATGTCATTCAGATTCACATCTGTTTACTGCATTTTACGATGGAGTTAAAAAAACAAACAAATAGGTTTATGATATGATATGCTCATGATGGGTAAATGTGTGTATTTTTCTGGCTGTGTATGTGTGTGTTTATACCTGTCTCTTTTTGTGGCTCCTCTGAGCAGGAGGAAGCTGGTTCATACCCAAATGTGCTGCAGGTAGGCATATTATAGCCAAATGAGGTGAAGAGGGGCTGATGGGTAAGGGGCTGGGTAGGAGGGGGTGGGGGAGTGAGGGGCAGAGAAAAAATGTGGAAGGAGTCACCGTTCACCATGACAACTGAACCAATTGCTGGCGGACAGATCTGTATCTTAAGATACTGTTGGGTCGAGGGACCTGGGTACAATAGAACGGCAACACCAAAAAACACAAACAACAAGAACAACAAAAAAACAGGAAAGGAAACACAAAACAAAACATGTTCAAGAAAAAATGTCTAACTCTATCACTGAGCTTATCTTTACCCTGAAAGTTAACATGCAAGGTGAAAATGAACTTATTTACATTCAATTTTAGGAAACTCTATAAAAAAAAAAACTGTACTCATGCATACTATTTCCACAAAACATATACTTGCAATACACCCCCCCCCCCCGCCCCCCCACGAAAAAAAAACAAATATTTACAACTGATCTATGCGCTATGCATGCGGACTACATGCATTCAGACTACATACTTTCATGCATGAAAAAAGGAGATAATAGGGATTTGAAGCGTGTTGGAGTGTTATCTATGTACAGTGCATTAATCAATATATAATACAATTCAATATTGGTGCATTTCAATATTGAAGTAAAAATGTGAAAAATAAAAGTGTTAAGTAAAACCCAGCAATGGATTTAGTAATCACACAGCCCATAGAGCTCCACTGGGAGTCTATGGCACATACCTGCACCACTGATTTTAATGGCGCAAATTTCAATGTTTATCCAACAAGAGGCTCTAAACACACTATCTGGGTCTCAGACTTCAATTGAAGTTTATGAGAGCATTGTGAGTGCTGTTTGCTTTGGAAAAAACAATGAGCTATCATTTAGAACTTTTTTTCTGATTGCGATTTAAAATAATAATAATAACAATAATAATAATAATAATAATAATTAGTAGTACTAATAGTAGTAGTACTAGTCTAATTATTATTATTAATAAAATATTAAAGTAAGATATACTACTAATATTTCACTGTAAAAAAGTATTTAAGAAAAAATAATGTGAAATTGGTCAATTGGCTGAATTTTTTCAGCGGTAAACTGCAGGAGCAGTATCTTTTGTTAACATCAGTTGGTTTAAGCACTTCTAATGACAAGTTTGGAAAGACAGTTTGCTCATGTTGCCCAAATGCACAGTAAGCCACCCAAGCTCAGAGTAGATGCAGAGATGAGGTCATGTGGAGCAGCATTCACTGCAAACTGAGCCACTCCGAGACACTGAAAGCATCGGATCATGAGCTGTTCACGCATACATGAATACAGTGCCACAGTTCACTCTGAAACCAGAAGCGCATATATTTATTGAATTAAAGTGCAACCTTTGCGATTTGATAATTGTACTAGGCCACATCATTTTGTTTTTATTCCAATTAATCATGCAGAACCATTTTAAATCACTATATTTTTTGTGTTTTCTTAAAAGTCCAGCTTCTCTAAAATAGACTGGATCCTAAACAGCCCAACACAGCCTCAATGGGTTAAGTAATAGTTTGAGAAGTATTTTTTACATATCAACTTACAGACACCGGAATAAAAACTGTAAATCTGAATACACATTCTGACACTGATAAGTGATGTTGTTTCTTCACTTTCGAGAAGCAGCAGACGCCACTGATCTGTGTGTATAAATGTGTGAAAGCCTGTTTGCATGTGTGTGAATGTGCAGAAGAGAGAATCCACTGATGTGAGTTGAAGGAAAATAAAGGGGGGCATGGAAACTATGGTGCAGGTGGACGGAGAGATGACTGAACAGTGACAGATAGATGAACCACTCTCATCTGCCCTGTTTATCCCTCTCTCTCTTTCAACTTTTCGAGCTGACGCCTCTAATTAGAATCACTTGACTGGTGATAAAGGGCAGGACAGTTGGATATGGAGCGAATGAACGACCACCTACACATCCACTAGGAGTACCCATTTTGAAATACAGACAGCTATGATAAATTTTGAAGATACAATAATTGTGTGATTTCATTATGTTTACAACTTCAAATCATTTCAAAGAAAAAAAATATATATATATATTGCTATGCTGTTGCGAGGGTGTTCTTAGTGGTTTTGTTTAATGCATTGCTATGGTCCTTTGAGTAGTTTTTAATGTGTTGCAATGTGGTTTCCAGGGTGTTCTGTGTGGTTGCTCAAACTGTCCAATCTACTGTATGTCTCTATGATATTCTGGTCCCTCCATCAATGTAAATCTATGGGATTTTATCATCCATCAGGAAAAAAAATAATAATAATCTGATGACTTTCTCTCTTAAGGAAGCTGCATAATTTGAGGTATCATTTATGTCAGTAGCACAAATCGTAGTTTAAAAGCTTAACACTTCAAATTAGAGGTTTGTTCCAATAGTAATAGTAATGTCTACTCCCCTAGTACTTGGTTTATCTATTGAGTACTCAAGAGGACAAAAGAAACAAAATGCCTATCCCTAACACACACATGAAAATAAATGCACACTCATATGTATGTAGAAATGCATGCACTAAATACAAAACACACCCAGACACACACACACACACACACACACACACACACTCACACACACACACAGACACACACACAGACACACACACACACACAACTTCTAATGACAAGTTTGGAAAGACAGTTTGCTCATGTTGCCCAAATGCACAGTAAGCCACCCAAGCTCAGAGTAGATGCAGAGATGAGGTCATGTGGAGCAGCATTCACTGCAAACTGAGCCACTCCGAGACACTGAAAGCATCGGATCATGAGCTGTTCACGCATACATGAATACAGTGCCACAGTTCACTCTGAAACCAGAAGCGCATATATTTATTGAATTAAAGTGCAACCTTTGCGATTTGATAATTGTACTAGGCCACATCATTTTGTTTTTATTCCAATTAATCATGCAGAACCATTTTAAATCACTATATTTTTTGTGTTTTCTTAAAAGTCCAGCTTCTCTAAAATAGACTGGATCCTAAACAGCCCAACACAGCCTCAATGGGTTAAGTAATAGTTTGAGAAGTATTTTTTACATATCAACTTACAGACACCGGAATAAAAACTGTAAATCTGAATACACATTCTGACACTGATAAGTGATGTTGTTTCTTCACTTTCGAGAAGCAGCAGACGCCACTGATCTGTGTGTATAAATGTGCCTGTTTGCATGTGTGTGAATGTGCAGAAGAGAGAATCCACTGATGTGAGTTGAAGGAAAATAAAGGGGGGCATGGAAACTATGGTGCAGGTGGACGGAGAGATGACTGAACAGTGACAGATAGATGAACCACTCTCATCTGCCCTGTTTATCCCTCTCTCTCTTTCAACTTTTCGAGCTGACGCCTCTAATTAGAATCACTTGACTGGTGATAAAGGGCAGGACAGTTGGATATGGAGCGAATGAACGACCACCCACACATCCACTAGGAGTACCCATTTTGAAATACAGACAGCTATGATAAATTTTGAAGATACAATAATTGTGTGATTTCATTATGTTTACAACTTCAAATCATTTCAAAGAAAAAAAATATATATATATATTACTATGCTGTTGCGAGGGTGTTCTTAGTGGTTTTGTTTAATGCATTGCTATGGTCCTTTGAGTAGTTTTTAATGTGTTGCAATGTGGTTTCCAGGGTGTTCTGTGTGGTTGCTCAAACTGTCCAATCTACTGTATGTCTCTATGATATTCTGGTCCCTCCATCAATGTAAATCTATGGGATTTTATCATCCATCAGGAAAAAAAATAATAATAATCTGATGACTTTCTCTCTTAAGGAAGCTGCATAATTTGAGGTATCATTTATGTCAGTAGCACAAATCGTAGTTTAAAAGCTTAACACTTCAAATTAGAGGTTTGTTCCAATAGTAATAGTAATGTCTACTCCCCTAGTACTTGGTTTATCTATTGAGTACTCAAGAGGACAAAAGAAACAAAATGCCTATCCCTAACACACACATGAAAATAAATGCACACTCATATGTATGTAGAAATGCATGCACTAAATACAAAACACACCCAGACACACACACACACACACACACACACAAACACAAATGGACATATATTTGCCAGGTGCCAGGTGCCAGGTAGATGAGCTTCAGATTGACCTTAATGTAAAATGTGCATATGTGTCACATGACAACCTAGAAGACTCATGTGATAATGCGATGACACACCTGCCCTTTTGATGACTTCCACCATGTTGGACGGAAAATAACCCACGCAGTCATTTCCTGTACGGTTGTCGTGGATACAGCCCTTCCATCGTCCATCAGAATGCTGCTCCAAGACCTATAAGCAGCAAACAGAAATGCTCCAGAATGGGCCTGCAGGAGAAAGCTACTAAGGCATGCATGCATTGCACCATGCGACAAAACTAAAATAATGTCAGTTTAAAAATTTTCCTTTTGCTCATTATTATTTTGGACTTTTGATCGTTTGTTTATTTAATTGTTTTATTTAATAAAATTCAATTAGTTAAAGGTGCTGTATGTAGGATTGACACCGAGTGGTTGAACTAGGTATTGCAGTCCAAATTCAAAATAATTAAAACTCCTCCTCAAACTTGACGCACACGCAGGTTGCCAGATTGGTGACACCAACAGGAATGAGCGCACTTGAAAATGAATGAAATGAAATGCGCTGTGTTTTCCGCCAGCTGGCAACCCGGGGTGCCGAAATATAATTGGGTAAACTGGCAGTAGGCAGGTTTCACAAACCAAAACAGAGATCGACATTCCGGCCCGGAACACACATTTTCAAAGGAGAATAACTGACTGTAGCATTGTTTTTCAGATAAACAAGTATGTTAACTTAGCATGTTTCTTAAATATCTGCTAACATATTATGGTATTTTTATGCTTTAGTAGAGTCAGAAACTTACATACAGCACCTTTAACATTAATCAACTATGAACAACAATGTTTATAGCCTTCAAAATTTCAAAAGAACAGCATTCATTTGAAAGTGCAAAATTTTGTAACATTATAAATGTCTTTCCTGTTACTTTTGATCAATTTAAGGCATCCTTGCAGCGTAACAGTATTAATTTCTTTTTAAAAAATCTTACTGATCTGACCTTTTTAATAGTAGTGTACATGAAGCACTATATAGTTAAAAAGTGTTTCCTCCCCCTTAAAAAGTATTATATGCATGCCATCCCTGGGTGTAAGGGTTAACTAAGCTTCAGAAAATACACACCTTGCTACATTGTTAATGTTCAAGAATTACTTCTTTACCGTGATGATGTCGCCTGCTTTAATATTGAGGCTTGTCAGGTCATAGTTGTTGCAGTAATCCTTCAGAGCCCTCACTTGCATGGCAGCTGATGCATCTATATGCAGGAATACACACAGAGATACCAGTGAATTTAGAAAGCCTTGGACATTTCTATGTGAATTTGTGTTTTCAGAAACTCTCTCCCATTGTACCTCTCAGCATCTGTTTGATTTCCTTGCTGGCTTGGGTAGTGGTGAACTGGTTAACAATATCCAGCGCTGTCTGACAAAATGTGTTCCTCACCCCGGCACTGATACCACTCTGGAGAGACAGATAAAACATTCACATGGTACATAATGTAAACACAACCAGGGACCAAAATTTACACTCAACAAGTGCCAAATGCATATAAAAGTTGTCTTTAGTGAATAAATAAAGCAGAGCTGGCTGGTTATGTTTCAAATCAAACACATGCAACCTAGAAGACATCTGTTATGACACTTCTATTGTTGTTTCTTCTAAAAACTTTTATCTTAGTGAAGTATTAAGATTAAAGGTTCATGTTAGATGCCTAAGGTTTGCCTAATTCCACTGTCACAGTGACAGAGTTCAAAACTTTGTGGTCAGTAAGATTTTTTTTTTTTTCTTCTGAAAGAAATTACTACTTTTGCTCAGCAAGGTTACCAAAAGTGACAGTAAAGACATTTAAAATGTTAACACATTTTCAATTTAAAATAAATGCTGCTTATTTGAACTTTTTTGAACTTGAAAAAACGTATCACAGTTCCACAAAAAGTAACTGTTAACAAACTTGATAAGAAATGTTTCTTAAGCAACAAATCAGCATATTAAAATGATTTCTGAAGGATCGTGTGAAACTGAAGACTAGAGTAATGATTGCTGAAAATTCAAGTCTTAAGTCGCTTGGGTATATTTTTAGCAATAGCCAAAAAAACATTGTATGGGTCAAAATTATCGATTATTCTTTAATGCAAAATCACTAGGATATTAAGTAAAGATCATGTTCCATGAAGATATTTTGTAAATTTCTTGCCGTAAATATATCAAAACTTAATTGTTAGAACTTACTGATTAGTAATATGCATTGCTAAGAACTTCATTTGGACAACTTTAAAGGTGATTTTCTCAGTATTTAGATTTTTTGCACCCTCAGATTCCAGATTTTCAAATAGGTGTATCTCGGCCAAATATTGTCCTATCCTAACAAACCATACATCAATGGTTAGCTTATTTATTCAGCTTTTATATTATGTATAAATATCAATTAAAACATTTGACCCTTATGACTGGTTTTCCTGTTTTTACTGTATTTTCTTTATCAAAATAATGCAGTCTTGGTGAGCATAAGAGACTTCTTTAATTGCGACTCCAAATGTTTGAATGGTAGCCTTTTTTTAATTATTTTTATGAATACATACCATTGGCAAATGTGGCATAAAGTTAATTTTGGACATCACACACAATATGTGACCCTAGACCACAAAACCAGTCATAAGTCACATGGGTATATTTGTAGCAATAGCCAACAATACATTGTACGGGCCCAAATTATAGATTTTTTTTTATGCCAAAAATCATTAGGATATTAAGTAAAAACTGCTTTCTATTTGAATTGAAAATTCAATTGGAAATCATGATACATATTATTTTCAGGATTCTTTGATGAATAGAAAGTTTATCAGAACAGCAGTTTTGTAAAAGTCTTTACTGTCACTTTTTGTCAAATTACAAATCTGTGCTGAACTGAATGAATCTTATTAAATCTCATTGTATTAATTTCTTTTAAAAAAAAAAACTTACCGGCCCCAGACTTTTTTTTAACCGTAATGTATATTCTACATAAAATTGTGTTCATATACAGAAGTCATGTGAGTCCAAATTGTGAAGAATCTAAAAAAAATCTTTGTAGAAATGTAGTAAGGTTTTAAAAATGATATTTAATACATTCATTTTGATTAAAGTCAATAAAGGCAGTACAACAAGTACTGCTATGATAAATACATATATATTTTATTTAACATTAATAAAAACTACAGGAGGGAAATGTGTTTGATTATCATCAAAGGAATGCCACAATGCAAAAAGTGTTTATGGTCCTCAAAATAATATAAATAATTGTTCATCAAAAATAAAAGTCATAGTAAGACAAGAATTCATGATACTCAAAATATAGATGATAAATCTGTTCTAATCACTTCAGTGGATAGTTTGAGATTTAAGTTCTAATACACGCCAAATTACATGTGCAACATTTGAGCACTTTTATAATAATGTGCTCATGTGAACTGCACCAGCCTATGTATGTAACCTTTTATGTATGTAAGATGTAACCTAAATGATGACTTTCCCACTGTTAAAGCTTCAGTGCATATGTTGAAATAAAGTGCAGAAAAATAAAGTCCAGTGAGCACCTACTTGATGGTCTCGATATGTCCATTCTTGGCAGCCAAATGGAGTGGGCTGATGCCATTGGGATCGGAGGGCTTCGGTTCTAACATAGCAGCACACATGTTACTGTTCAGGAGCAACTGCACCACCTGTACAACACACAGAAAAGATGCATGCATACTGTACAAACACAATTTACACAGGTGTGCAAAATTATTTATTTATTTAAAGGGATAGTTCACCCAAAATGAAAATCAAAATAAATAATTATTCTGTAATCATTTGCTCACCTTCAAGCTGTTTCAGACCTGTATGAGTTTCTCTCTTCTGCTGAATATAAAATATATTTTGGTAATCAAAGTTGCTAATCCCCATTGAAAAAATGCTAAGGAAGTCAATGGGGACCAACAACTTCAAAATATATTTGAGTGTGTGAGTGTGTTCTGCAGAAGAAAAAAAATCATACAGGTTTAGAACAACATGTGTTAGACCCCGTTCCGTGTTTTGTGTGTTTTGCTCCCCAAGTGTTTCCTTATGTCCTTATTTGGTCTTCCTGTTTCCTGTTCCCATTATGTTCCCTGATTAGTTCTATTAGTTCCATCTGTTACTAATTATCTTCATTTGCTCCTGTGTATTTAAAGTGTTCCCGGTTCTTAGTTCTTCGTCTGGTATTGCATATGTCATTTTGTGAACGTCACTCCATGTTTCCCGTGTTTCCTGTGCTCCCAGCTTGGTTTTCATTAAAGACTGTTGGAACTTGCACTACTCCTCGCTCCTTCGTTCCTGTGCTCCCAGTGTGAATCGTGACAGAACAGCGGACAAGGACAGTAAGCGGCGCCCCTTGTCATTTTTAAAGTCTTTTGTTTTCCTGTGTGTTTCTCCCCGGGGCATGGAAGTAGCCGCTCGCTTTATCGCCCTAGCCCACAGAGATCTCCCCTTCGTGGAGTATGCATGGGAGTTCAGCAAGATCGCCGCAAAAACAGCGCTGGACGATGCCATGCTCAACTCTCTGTTCTGGATCGCTATCGCCCCGCGGACCTCCCAGACGCCACAGGACTGAGCTGGAGGGAATGGATCCTCCAGTGTCTGGAGAGCGTTCAGCCCCGAACCAGAACCAGCCCGCCGGCCGCTCCGAAGTTAAGCCCGTCAGCCGCTTCGGTGTCAAGCCCGCCGGCCACGGCATTCCTAAGCCTGCTGGCGGTTCCTCAGTCAAGCCCACCGGCTGCGGCTCTCTCCAGCCCGCCAGCCGTTCCGAAGTCAAGCCTGCCGTCTGTGGCATTGTCAAGTCCGCCGACAACGCCTTTCACCCCGAACATAAATGGGAATTTAAGAAGGAGAAGACGGTTGGTTCTAGTCCCTAGGCTCACTCCAGTGTCGGCTCCAGCCCCAGAGCTCGCACCAGTGTTGGCTCCAGCCCCCGAATCCAGCCCAGTGAGGGCTCCTGTCCCCGAGTTTAGCCCACGGAGGGCTCCAGTTCCCGAGTTTAGCACAGAGAGGGTTCTATTCCCTGAGTTTAGCCCTACGCCTTTCACCCCGAACATAAATGGGAATTTAAGAAGGAGAAGACGGTTGGTTCTAGTCCCTAGGCTCACTCCAGTGTCGGTTCCAGCCCCAGAGCTCGCACCAGTGTTGGCTCCAGCCCCCGAATCCAGCCCAGTGAGGGCTCCTGTCCCCGAGTTTAGCCCACGGAGGGCTCCAGTTCCCGAGTTTAGCCCACGGAGGGCTCCAGTTCCCGAGTTTAGCACAGAGAGGGTTCTATTCCCTGAGTTTAGCCCAGTCCCTGAGTTTGGAGCCATGGACTCCTGAACTGCCTGCTCCGCCATGGCCTCCTGAACTGCCTGCTCCGCCATGGCCTCCTGAACTGTCTGCTCCGCCATGGCCTCCTGAACTGTCTGCTCCACCATGGCCTCCTGAACTGTCTGCTCCGCCATGGCCTCCTGAACTGCCTGCAACGCCATGGCTTCCTAGTCTACCTGCTCTGCCATGGCCCCTGAGCTCCCTGTGCCTGATCTGATGAACTTGCACTACTCCTCGTCTCCTCGCTCCTTCGTTCCCGTGCTCCCAGTGTGAATCGTGACAACATGAGGTTGTCATTATGCACAAAATCTGTACATAAATATACAATTATTATTCTCAATCTCAATGTATATACAGTATGTACCGTATATGTCCAAAAAAATGTTAGGAACTGTAGGAAAATGGTTTGATTAAATGTTGGCCACAAATGCAGCCCACAAACCTCAAATCACTCAGAATTCAACTATAAAAGTGTGCCTTATATTATATAACATATTAAATCTTTATATTTTACACTGTTAAAAATATTTTATCAGTAAATGGTGCTGTAAATATATTTTTATGGATCATCATGCAGTAAAAGTACCTACTACCTGACAAATAACACTGAAATAAGTATCTTCGAGATATCACGCATGTCTCTGTGACGGCTTTAATCTTCATCAAAAAGAAATTTGATCGCTACTGTTTAGCCAATCAGAACACTTTGAGGTGCTTACCACCTGTCAGCCACTTTGAGCATTCAGGTAGGCTGACATGTTTTTGGAGCAAGATATTTTGGAGAGAGGGAGTGATCTAATTCAGTATCTGGCAAAAATAGAACATTATAGATATACAACAACTTAAACATAAAACAATCCATGGCCTTTTTAAGTGAAAGAAATTATTTAATATGACAAATAAAACAAAACCAGAAAGGGCTAGTTTCCTCGGTGACGTACCCTCCAAATCCATGGATTTATTTCTTTTAGAACACAAAAGAAGGCTTTTAAGCTTCAAAGTGATGCCAAAATACCAAAAAAGTATCATAAACTCATAAATTCATATATGGACTCATATGTAGTGCAATACTTCTAAAGCTGATAGGTTTATGTGAGGAACAGACTGAATTTTAAGTCTTTTTTTCACAATATTAATATCTGGGGAACTGTCCCTTTAAAAAACAAGTTAGAATAAACTGTTATGGAAGAATCTCTTAAAAACCAGCTGTGAGTACATGTGGGTTTCCTGCATTTGGCTGAGAACGTGAGAAGAGGTGTAGTTCCCACAATCCCACAGGGGAGCACCGCTTCTCATCTATCTATCACAAACCCCCGTGTACGTGCAGACAGACACAGACACAAACACAGCATAACTGACCGTGACTCGTCCAAATTCGCAGGCCAAGTCTAGAGGGGTTTTCCCAGCGTGGTCTCTGAGGCAGGGGTTTGACTGATGTTGGAGCAGCATCTCGCTCTGCAGACACACACACACACACAGTACCCTACAGTGAATATGTGTGTGTGTGTACAGCATGACTCTGATTGTTTATGTGTGTATACTCACTCCTTCATAATGGCCATGTTGTGATGAGAGATGTAAAGGGATCTGTCCCTCATCTGATTGGCTGTTGACTGATGACCCCGCCTTGAGCAGCATTTTCATGGGCTCACACTTGCCCTGCCAAGCAGCATAATGTAAGGGCCGCATCCCTTCAGAAAAAGTGAAGAGTTTGAATGAGAAACATATACCCTTTTTTAAAGAAATTAATACTTTTATTCATCAAAGGACACATTAAATTGATCAAAAGTGACAGTAAAGACATTTGTAACATTACAAACGTTTTTTATTTCAAATAAATGCTGTTATTTTTGAACTTTTTATTCATCAAAGAATCATATAAAAATGTATGATGGTTTCCACAAAAATATTACACAGCAAAACTGTTTTCAGCATTGAATAAAAAATGTTTCTTGAGCAGCAAATCAGCATATTAAATGATTTAATGACTGCTTTGCCATCAGAGGCATATATTATATTTTAAAATATATTCAAATAGAAAACAGTAATTTTAAGTGAGAACTATTTTGATAATTGATTAATCTGCATATTAAGTAAATACATACTGTACATATGAGACCGTTACTACTAAAAAGACTCAATACATCTGCATGTGTATGTGGTGCTGTGTGTGTTTGTACCTTTCTGGTCTTTGATGTCAACGACAGCTTGCGACTCGAGTAACAGTGAAATCAGCTCCACATTACCATTAAGAGCAGCATGATGCAGGGCAGATAACCTATAAAACAAAAGCACACAAACACATAATGCATTAACCATTTCTAGTGACATATAGAATCTGTTTAGGTTTCTGGAGGGAAACCTGTGGAATAGATGTAAACAATATAAGGTATGAAAGTAGGAGAAATCGTTTGGCATAAGAATATGAGAAAAGTAACTGTACCTTTCATTGGCTCACATTATAATGAGAAAGACCAGATCATAATATCAAATTTAATACAAGAAGTCATTGTTACAAAAAGAGTTGAGTGCAATTGTGAGAAATTAAATTAACCCATTCTATCTCAAATAATCATTAAAGCCCATTCTTGCCGTACAAGAAAAATAACATTCTTTGGTAAATCCTAATTATGATAGAAAGCCATAATTATGAGACAAAAATAAAACATTCTTTGGTAAATCCTAATTATGATATAGAAAGCCATAATTATGAGACAAATTATGACTTGAGTCAAAATTATGACATAAACAGTCACAATTATGACTTAGAGTCTAAATTATAGTCTAAATTAAAAACAAATAGTATCTTATCATTTAGAATTTTTGTCATAATTTCTATGAAGTCATAATTATGACAAAAACAAACTCTTCTTTTTTGACCTTTTCTTTAAAATTTCAATCTATGTTATAATTTCGACTTTTATCCCAGAATTATGACTTAGTATCTCATAATTTAAACTTTTTTTATCTCAGAACTTGTATACCACAGCATGGTGTCTTTTAGCTGTTAGAAATACTGTGTGTTTAAAATAGAAGCACAATTGGGACCTACAATATAGGTATCTAAAATAGGTTAAATCCTTTTTAATAAAATTGACTGCTGGTTGCATCAAAAACACTCTGATAGCTAGACATTTTGATGAAATAGTGATCATTGCACATTTTAAAGATTTTTTTTTTAATTCAGTCATACATTTTTATATCATACTTTAATGATACAATTGGCCAAAACCTCACTGCTATGATCAAATTTTGTGTGGTAGCTGTCAGTAACAGTGTTAGCATCTGTTTGGTGCAACGAGTCCAAAATAGACACATTTCAAGTGACTGGATTTGGCAACCAGAAAAAAAGTGAAAATTTCAATGAAAATCAGAAAAGCATTGTGCACATGTCTGGTTAAAAAGGAAAGGCAATCAACAGACAATTAAAACGGGAAGCATCACCATTCAAATCAGCAGCAAGAGTCAAAGCTAGTCCACAGTTTAGTCAAATGTGGGCAACCTCTTTAAGTTATTTTTGACTGTGCTGTATTGACTGCTTTGATGGCATGTAATACGGTAGTGCATTTTTTGTTTTGATACTTATATCCGTCTTATATCAGACTTTTCTGAGAAAGATTTTTTTTTTTTTCGACTCGTTAAATGTCACCCATGCTGGTAGCTAAATGCAGAGAGAGCCAGAGAAGAGCCAAAATCAGAAGAGCCAAAAATATTCATATTTACATTGAACAGCATATATTAAACGTATTTAATATGCAATTAAATAAGGAAAAACAAACTCGGGGGAGATGATTTGTAGAAAACAGAAACTGGTAGTGAATGACAGGCATTATTATTCTGCAGAAATTCTTCAGGTGAATCTGTGTGTAGGCCTGTGTCTAGGCCTGCTCTTATTATGTGGTCTAAATATCTTTTTTTTTAGTTCTTTTTTCCAGCCCAAGTGCTTTCAGCCTCCTCTGTAACTTTTTAGAGAGTCCCTAATCGGTCTTCATTGCAGCTCAACTCTGCCAATTTACTCCGATCCCTCATCCGATCCCTCACTGCCTAACTGAGCAGGAGGCTATGACCTACTTCCATGAGTAAGAGATTTTTCTCTGCCAGAGCCCCAAGCCACATGTGTACACACACACACACACACACACACTTACTCTAATACACTGCAGCATTCTAATAACAACACACCTGTATTCTGCACTGTAGGAATCTTGAGAATTCATACAAAAGTTCATTCTTTTCAGAATCCAATCAATTGCTAATGAATACAATTAATAAAAAATGCCCTTTCACTTGCAAACAATGTTCCCCCTAAAGGCAAGTTCACACCACTGGAGTTTAAAGACTACTGCTGTTCAGACTACTTGACTTGTTGTCTGTCTTGAAGTCGTTGTGATGTTCACACTGCGTGACACTATGTAAATTATCCGCAACTGGCCTTGGGGACACACACTACACGAGCTGACAACAACTCTGTCACCCAACGACTCTATCCGGTCCCGTTTTGTCACGAAAACACACACGAGAAGATTAGATTATATATAAATAAAAGAATGTGGGCAACCTCTTTAAGTTATTTTTGACTGTGCTGTATTGACTGCTTTGATGGCATGTAATACGGTAGTGCATTTTTTGTTTTGATACTTATATCCGTCTTATATCAGACTTTTCTGAGAAATATTTTTTTTTTCTTTCGACTCGTTAAATGTCACCCATGCTGGTAGCTAAATGCATTATCAGAAGAGCCAAAAATATTCATATTTACATTGAACAGCATATATTAAACATGTATTTAATATTGCAATTAAATAAGGAAAAACAAACTCGGGGGAGATGATTTGTAGAAAACAGAAACTGGTAGTGAATGACAGGCATTATTATTCTGCAGAAATTCTTCAGGTGAATCTGTGTGTAGGCCTGTGTCTAGGCCTGCTCTTATTATGTGGTCTAAATATCTTTTTTTTTAGTTCTTTTTTCCAGCCCAAGTGCTTTCAGCCTCCTCTGTAACTTTTTAGAGAGTCCCTAATCGGTCTTCATTGCAGCTCAACTCTGCCAATTTACTCCGATCCCTCATCCGATCCCTCACTGCCTAACTGAGCAGGAGGCTATGACCTACTTCCATGAGTAAGAGATTTTTCTCTGCCAGAGCCCCAAGCCACATGTGTACACACACACACACACACACACACTTACTCTAATACACTGCAGCATTCTAATAACAACACACCTGTATTCTGCACTGTAGGAATCTTGAGAATTCATACAAAAGTTCATTCTTTTCAGAATCCAATCAATTGCTAATGAATACAATTAATAAAAAATGCCCTTTCACTTGCAAACAATGTTCCCCCTAAAGGCAAGTTCACACCACTGGAGTTTAAAGACTACTGCTGTTCAGACTACTTGACTTGTTGTCTGTCTTGAAGTCGTTGTGATGTTCACACTGCGTGACACTATGTAAATTATCCGCAACTGGCCTTGGGGAAACACACTACACGAGCTGACAACAACTCTGTCACCCAACGACTCTATCCGGTCCCGTTTTGTCACGAAAACACACACGAGAAGATTAGATTATATATAAATAAAAGATTACATAATATTATATTATAAGTCTAATAATAATTGACCTCAAAAAGGGAATTCTTGAGCTTCATTTTCTAAGGTAACCTAAAATGTGCATAATTTAGTTACATCAAGGGTCAAATCAAATATAAATAGCACATTAAAGTTGAAAGTTACACACTTTTTTTGTGTGTGCGCTTTACAGGAATGTTTTTGCTCAGGTGGCCAAAATATTCACCCAATACAGAAAATGTGTGCTCAGCAAGAAAAAAAAAATTTGAGGGAACATTGGCTGCAAATATTGTTTCCTGTTGACTTTAATAGGCAGTGGCCTTTGAAAAGTCCACATCAGCTGATCACAACTTAATTTAATTGATAATGATAAAGTGTGTGTGTGTGTGTGCCTACTTAACCATATTTTGGGGACACATTTGTACCCAAAAGTGAGCTAAACCTGACAAAATCTTAAAAAACCTCCCTTTGGGGATGTCCTCATTTGTAAAACTGGTATAAAAATAAAGTAAACAAAGTTGTTGTTTTTTTATTGTAAAAATGCAGAAAGTTTCCTGTAAGGGCTAGGTTTAGGTGTAGGGTGATAGAATATACAGTTTGTACAGTATAAAAACCATTACGCCTATGGAATGTCCCCATTTAGATAGCTAAGTAAACGTGTGTGTGTGTGTGTGTGTGTGTACATTTTCATTGTAGTACAGATGAAACTCACCCGTCTGTGTCCTGAAAATTCACATTCACTTTTTTAGCAGCACCCAAGAGCTCTGCAGGAGAAAACAGAAAACATTTTTGAACAATAGATTATTATTAGATGTTTAATTAACCTGGCCAAACTGACACGTTTGTTAAACTAACAAAAATGTTCTTAATTAAATTATTATTAATAATGTTATAATTTATTGTTATTATTAAATAATAATAATTTATTAATATGACTGGTGCTACTATAAATATAATTTACCAGTATAATATTGTTATACTGTATGTAACAATATTATACTAGTAAAATACTGCTAGTATAATATTAGTATAATATTGTTTTTTATGAAGTGTTCTTACACTTTGTTATATAAAATAAAATATAACCAATAAATATAATACTAAATCTGTAAATTGCATTTTAAACATAGATAATTTAATATAATTTAATGTTTCTGGAAATACACCATATGATGTGCAAATCAGGGGTGTTTCCTCCAAGTAGGCAAGGGAGGCAGAGTCACCTCAAAATATTGGATGAGAAAAAAAAAATCGTAGTACAAAAATAAAACAGCCAATATTACAAAATATAACATTAAAAAGTGTATAAATCACTCGTTTTTCTAATGAAACATTGTCCAACAGTGACCCCGCCTCTTGTATTCATGCGCGTTATGCATTTGTGAATCAGTCTGAATGAACAATATAATGGCGTTAATGGGAAGACTCATTTTAAAAAAGTAAGTAAAGAACTCACACACTTAGATATACAGGTGCATCTCAATAAATTAGAATGTCATGGAAAAGTTCATTTATTTCAGTAATTCAACTCAAATTGTGAAACTCGTGTATTCAATAAATTCAATACACACAGACCGAAATAGTTTAAGTGTTTGGTTCTTTTAATTGTGATGATTTTGGCTCACATGTAACAAAAACCCACCAATTCATTATCTCAACAAATTAGAATACTTCACAAGACCAATAAAAAAAAACATTTTTAGTGAATTGTTGGCCTTCTGGAAAGTATGTTCATTTACTGTATATGGTCTGTGACCAATATTTACTGAGCTTTGAGGACTTATGAACCGAAAAATTAAAAAATAATTAAAAGTTAACTATTAAAAAGAATAGCTGAACATAAGGTTTTGTTGTTGTTGTTGTTTTTCTGGTAGTGTAAGTAATGTTTATTTAACCAATAACATGTGACTGGGACAGGAATTTACATTAGAATTTTTATTTTTTTTAAAGGACTTTGCCTCCTCATTTCAGAACACCACCGCACACCACTGGTGCATATAAACCGAATGTTGGCAATACTTGAAATGCTGAAAATATATCAAATTATTACTGTTTCATGCTGAAATTTTACTAAAATCACATAATAATAAATACATAAGTTATATGAATGTACTTGAATTTAAAAAGCATTCTTAATTCTGTTCTGAATGATTTCATACTTGGATGCAGAAGCCTAATTAGCACGTATAAAGTACTTTCCCACTATTATCTCGAGGAGTAAGGTCAAAGCGAGACATGGATCAGTCACAGAGGGGATTCCTCTCAGTCAAAGCCAACAGGTAGAGTTTCCATTCATTATACTCAAGCAAAACTGTTTAATCACAGCTGGTTATGAGCCACACCATATTTGCTGGTATTTCCATCAAATGTATATGGCTCAATATATTAATCTCCAGATGTATACATGTGTGTTGTTGTGTGTGTATGTGTGCTAAATGAAAGTGGTCCAGATGGCAGCTTTCTCAGAGGGTGAGACATGGGATGGGGTGTAGAGACAGACAGAAAGAGAGAAATTTATAATACAGGAAAATATCACTGGTGAAATAAACAAACTGTGTGTGTGTGTGTGCTGTTCATTTAACCTTAATAATAGTCTTATTCCACTAAACATGCTTAAGAAGCTATTCATAATGCATAAATGATATTATTATTATTATTCATTCTCACTGATCACAGCATAATCAATTATGCTAATGCCTTGGTGAGGATGAGGCATTAATTAATTTCCCTATTCAAAATTATCTCTTGAAAAAGGTAAATTAATAGATATGTAATTATTGCACATTTAATAAACTAACTAATTACGCATCTCATTTTCTACAAACACACTCCCAGACATTCAATCTAAGTCACCTTCAGAAAGACAACAGAATGCAATGAGAAAAATGCAAACAAGCATTTCCATGACAACTCAATGTCACTGTGATGCTAATTAGAGAATGTGACAGAAATACCATGGTAACACCTCACCTGAAGTTGCTATGCAATGTCTCTTTAGTAACCATAATGATGGTATCATGATAAATTAGGAAGTTGGGGGGAGAAACATACATTTTGTATACATTCACACGCTGGCACCCATACAGTCGCACACCATGGGGTGTTTTGGAACATGGTCATAATCCTTCCATGTGATAAATTATTCATTTGATTATCATTGCAACCTCATTGGTGCCTGTTGCTATGGAAACCTTGACCTTAACCATGACAATAACAATCAGTGTTGCCCAGCCCCTGCTCACGAGTACAGAAAATCTCCTGTGCTTCAAACATTCTTTAATACTAATCTTCCCCTTGGATCCTCTTTCAATAATGCATTCAGTTTATTCACAGCTTTATGTTTCAAAAGACCCAGCTGGGGTGTTTCAGAGTGTGTAAGACTTGAAAATCTACAAGAGGTTAAAGGTTAAGATGATGTAATCCATCATCTGTCATGGCAAAATGCTGAAATCAAATTCTTCCTCCGAGCATAATGAGACTTCTCACCAAGCAATGCTTAAAATGAACTGAAATCCCTGGCATTGTGTTGCTATACAGTTTATAGCCTTTTAAAGGATTAGTTCACCCAAAAATTAAAATCTTGAAATCATTCACTGACCCATGTTGTTCAAAATTGAGAGGAACACAAAACGAGACGTTTAGCAGAATGTCCGAGCTGCTCTCTTCCTTACATTTAAAGCTGATGGGGACCAGGTGTTGTCAAGATCCAAAAAAAAAGCACCATAAAAATAGTTAATATGTCTTGTGCACTATATTCCAAGTCCTCTGCATTCATAGGATACCTGTGTGTTATGAACATGCTAAAATGTAAGTTATTTCACAAAATATTGCCTTGAAATCTCACTTGACATCCATGGTCACCCTTCACATTCATTTTATGAAAAAGAGAAGCTTGGACCTAATGGTACAGTTTTGTGCTCTGCAGAAGAAAGAAAGTCATACAAGTTTAGAAAACATAAAGGAGTGCAAATGATGACAGAATCTACACATTTGGGTGAACTGTTCATTTAAAGAGGGTTATATGACACCTAACTGTTGAATGGTAGTGTGCATATTCAGTGTGTGCATAAGGCAATGTTTCTGGACATTTCCTACTACTTAAAACCATTTATGCAGCCCTGCATGGTGCCAGTCCCTGAATGTGGTGCCACTGGGTACGTGCCCAAATGTCCATATGCTTAATCCAGCCCTGATTGCATAGAGGCTAGCTACCAAGTCTCCTACAGCAACCAGAGCTCAAATTCTTGTTTAAGCCTTATAGCAAGACTGAGCCATCATGCTCTTCTGCATGTTGACACATAGCCCTAGGGACTCCAAGTGATGAAGCAGCATGTCTATATGGCTGACTAGCGTGTCCCGGGACTGAGCTAAAATCAGCCAATCGTCCAGATAGTTGAGAACGCGCATCCCGCTCGCTCTGAGGGGGGAAAGTGCTGCATCCATGCACTTTGAGAAAGTGCGTGGGGCCAAAGCCAGCTCGAACGGGAGAACAGAGTCTTGGTACGCTGTGCCCTCGAAAGCAAACCTCAGAAAGCGTCTGTGATGCGGTGCTATATGAATGTGAAAGTACGCGTCCTTTAAATCAACGGACGCAAACCAGTCCCCGGGGCGAATTTGCGCCAGGATTTGTTTCAGCGTTATCATCCTGAACGGACACCAAGTAGCCAGCGCGAAATTCCCGGAATAACTTCCCACGCGCTCAGGAACTGACATAGCGGCTTTTGCGGCTTGTCCGTTGGATGCGCCGGCGAGTGTGTGGGTGGCGGCTCTGCACTGCTCTGAGGCGGGGCGAGTGGCACCGCATTGACTGAGTGAGGAGGAAATAGCTCTTTTTGTGAGAATGTATGCATTTTTATTGAATGAACATCCAACACACAAACATTTGAAAACATGAACTTGTGGCGCTTGGGAGCCGGGCCGCTCACGCACTCTCCTCCTCTCTTCAGACCGTCAGGACGACGGCTTAGCCGCCGGCGGCGGGCGAGAGTCACGTCGCGGGCTCCTCCGCTGGCCGTGGCGTTTCCTCCCGGGACCCCATGCCTTCCTGCGGAAATCCGACTCCTGGCGAGGAGCAGTAACGTTAGCCGTCACCGCTGCAGACGCTGGCCTGGGGTTATCTCTCCACTGGGAAGAGCCAGGTGCCGACGAGGATCTGGATCTCGCCATCTGCTGCTGGAAAGCGCGCCTTGGCATCACGTGACTCATGGCTTTGGCGCGCTTTTGAGCTTCCGCGAAGCGCTCAGTAATGGACTCCACGGCGCTACCAAAAAGGCCGGAGGGAGTCACAGGAGCATTCAGCAGCACTTTACGGTCAGCATCGTTGAGGTCAGCTAGGTTTAACCAAAGGTACCTCTGAAGGATGACCATAAAACCCATGGCCTTGCCCACAGCCTGGGCCGCTCGCTTCGTCGCTATCAGCGCAAAGTCCGTCGCCGCGCGCAGATCCTTAACGGCCTCTGTTGTGAGGGGTCCGCTGCCTGCAGGAGCTTCGCCTGAAAAACCTGCAGCACTGCCATGGCGTGCAGCGCGGAAGCCGCCTCGCCATCAGATGCATATGCTTTATTGGCAAGGTGGGCGGTGGTCCTGCACGGCTTTGAGGGGAGGCTGATATCTGAGCTTAGGGTCTTGGCTGCTGCAGGACACAGGTGCACAGCGACGGTCTCCTCGACTGGGGGAGAGCACACGTACCCGTGGGCCTCCGCCCCATCCACGTTGGAAAAAATGGCCTGTGTGGCAGAGTGGACACTCGCTGATTGGGGCGCAG